TCTATCTATCTATCTATCTATCTATCTATCTATCTATCTATCTATCTATCTATCTATCTATCTATCTATCTATCTATCTATCTATCTATCCAGGTCTAAAGAGACACACAGGCATATTAAGAATAAAAACAAAAACAACGACCCACAAACCCCTCCATGTAAAAGGGGGAAACAAAGCTGTGACAATGATGCCATCCAGGGAGCACAGCTCCTCCATTGTTGAGGGCTGACGCTCCGTATTGTGCCTGGTGGACTCCATTGCCTCATAGCAGCTGGGATGTGCTGGCAGGGGAAACAGAACTGGCTGTCATCAGCTGGGGGAGATACTGTGTGATGCAAGCAGCATTACATCACAAAAGATGGTCCAGGCGAGCGCTGTCACACCGCTCAGATCTGTTAGGAGACCTTTGATACAGCTGGAAGAGACATGAGGGCTTCAAAACACAAAACATCTTTATTTGTTCACATCAATGACTGCGTTTCCCCCATAAAATACAGGTACAATGCATTACAGTAATTTGTTTTCTTTTTCTTTTTTTTTCAGGGAAATACACAAGTGGGTGAATACGTGAAATGCTTTCAACCAGAGGATTTGTTACATAGAGTATTACAGTAACAGGGTTGAGTTGCATGAAGTTGAGAAGTCTCCCACAGTGTGAAGACAATCATGTTCTGCTCTTAGCAGTCACCTAATATGTTTTTCTTTGCTACAATCCATATTATCCATGTGATCTGTGTCCTCCCTTAGCAAGAACTAGTATCCATTAAGCATAWAAATTTTAAACTTAAAATTAAAAAGTATACTTCCACATTACTTTTTATGTACTTATCTGAGATATACTTAACCAAGTTTATCTTACACTTGTACTAAAAGTATTCTAAAAGTTTAACTATACTTAGTTTGTACTGATGTTTAATATGTTGGTCAAGATAAACTTTAGTAGTACACTTTTCACACAGACTGGTTTATTTGTAGTATACTTCAAAATTAAACTAAAACTAAACTTTGATTACTTTCAGTATACTTCTGAGTGAATTTTTGTGGGTCAATTTGGTCCTAGAAGTATATTTGTTAATAAACAGCTAGTACACTTATGTCAGTTTACATGGTAAATAAAAGTTCACTTAAGAGAAATACACTTTTATATACTTCAGTATACTTAATGACATGTAATTAAAGTATACTTCTTTTAGATAAGTTTATAAACTTAAAAAGACACAACAGTATACTTAAGGCATACTTGATTTGATTTTGATTTGATTTATTGATTTAACAGGAAAAGATTTTTAAAAATCAAGTCTGACTCAGCATAACTGCTGTTTTACAGCAGGTTCCTGTTCTGCAGCACATAAAACACTCAGAAATACAGCATCACAATCACATCATTATTATTACACCATAGACACAAAGACAAACAAGCATACCAAATTTCAGGAAGGCAGCATTTGCAAAATAGGACCTCCAAATATGAGCACAACAAAAAG